GGGCCCCTTTCTCAGCGATGACTGGGCGATTGGGGGTGGCTGCGCGCCCCCCGGCCCCAACCAAGTATAGTTTTCGGGTCATCACGCTCTCGGCGAGGCGCAGCTGCTGGAGCCGACGAGCACGCAATCGAACCCCGAGTGGTTTCCCATCAGTCGGGCCTTGCAGGATCCTGCAGGATCCTGCACCCAAGCCCTGGTCAATGCGCCCCCGGCCCTGCAGTATCCTGAAAGATCTGGCGCCCTGGCTGACCTTTGTTGGTACACCCTGCGAAATGCTTTAGAAATCATGGGTTAAGAAATTCATCGTCTCAGACTTTGAATAACAACCCAACGTTTCCATTAAAATCTGAAGATTTACATGGAAACGTTAAGAATAATCGAGACTCTGGCCGAAAACTTAGGTTTTCTTAAGCATCGCCTAAGGTGTAATGACCCCCGTCTCTTGAGCCCCGAGCCTCCCTGGAGCTGCAGGCAGGCCCGGCCAGGGCGCCACCGGCTGGGCCCCGACCCTCGGAACAGGGCCTCCTGCGCGCGAGCCGCATCCAGCAGCACGCAGCACGAGAAACGAGCTAGACGACGAGGAGGAGCCCAGCGTACCGAGGGGTTCGTCAGCCGCGCTAGCCACGGGGCGACCGCGCCTGGTCGACACCGAGGCCGACGAGGAGGAGGAGGAGGAGGAGGAGGAGGAGGAGGAGGAGGAGGAGGGCCGAGTCCAGCGACGCCACGGCAGCACCTCTTCCCGAGTGCTCAGCCCCCCCCAGCTTGCCATCACTCGGGCGACCCCTGCCCGTGGGTGCTTCGGCTTCGTGTCTGGTCTGTTTGACAGACGATCCAGGATGCCCCTTGGTGGCCGTCGCCGAAAGAAGAAAGGCATGCGTCCGAGCGATGCCGAGCCGACAGAGGACGCCTCCTCTCTCCCTTCGCCCTCCTCGGCCCCCCTCCCCCCCCAGAGCCTTTCGCCCCCCCCCCCCCCCCCCCCCCCGCCCCAAAGCCCCTGTCCCTTCCCCCTCTTCGCCCCTCCCCCTCCGCGCTCTCTCGCCCCTGCTCCTCCCGTCCCCCTCCTCGCCCTTCCCCCACCGCGCCATCTCGCCCCGCCTCCTCGCCAGCATGCCCCACCGCTCGCCCTTCCCCCTCCTCACCCCCGCCCCCCTGGGGAAACCGAGAGGAAACCGAGAGGAGCACCGCAGGCCTCCCGGGAGGCCCTGACAGGGGAAAGCGAGGGCAAGGATCACTGGCGATGGTACGAGGACGACGAGGACACGGACAAGAACGAGGCCGAGAAGGAGGCCGAGGAGGAGGAGGAGGAGGAGGAGGAGGAGGAGGAGGACGAGGAGGGGGAGGAGGAGGAGGAGGAGGAGGAGGAGGAGGAGGAGGAGGAGGAGGAGGAAGGACGTGAGAAGGAGGAGGAGGGGAGGGGGAGAGGAGGAGGAGGAGGGGAGTTGGACGAGTGAGGACCGGATGACGGCACGAGGACGAGCTGGACGACAGCGACCGAGAGCAGCTGGCGCACTCGGGTCGCCCAGCTCGTTCTCGAGGAGGCGCAGCCCCCCGCACATCGCGGCACGAGGCGTGCGTCCCTCGACGAGGAGGAGCCCGCCTGGGCTGCCACGGGCAGCGCGGCCACGGTGGATGCGTGGGCTTGCTTTCCACTCACCCAACACCATAAGTAGGATGGGGAGGGGCCTCCATCCTCCGCCTCCTCCTCCTCCCTCCTCCCCTCCCCTCCTCCTCGCCCAACCTCCTCCGCCGCCTCCTCCTGCCTCCTCCTCCTACCTCCCCTGTCCAACTCCTCATCCTCCTCCTCCGCCTCCTCCTCCTCCTCCTCCTCCTCCTCCTCCTTTCTCCTCCTCCCCCACCTCCTCCTCCTCCCCCACTTCCTTCACCCCTACAACTTATGGTGGTGGTGGTGGAAAACATGCCCATCAAAGGGAGCTCTTGAGCTTGCGCGTCGCCGCGGCGGCCCCGGCGGCACGCTGTGCCTTGCGAGCGGGTGGCGTGTCGCTCCGCTCCACGGGGTGGGGGTTCAGAAGGGCTCGGGACGCTGGAAGCTCAGGGGCAGGGAGGTGGACAAGCGTGTCGCGCGCCGAGGCGTGGTGGGCCAGAACTGGCGGAACGACACGCTGTGCCATGCGAGTGGATGGCGTGCCGCTCCGACCCGCGGGGTGGTATCCCCGAGGGCGCGGCCTGGGCCCCACTGGCCGATGTTTGCCCACCCTGCATGGGGATACGTAAGCGTTCCCTTCGGGTGTCGAGGGGCGTATCCCCAACTGGGATGCCGAGATGGTGGAGGATGGCCGTGGGGAGAAGGGGTCGGTTAAGCGAGAGTCACGCTAGGAAAGGGGGTCGGGCGCGGCCTAACCGACCCCTAGCACCCCCAGCACACCATGCCCTCCCTTCCGCCCGCACACATACGTCTTGAGGCGAAGCGAGGGGGACGTCACGGAAGGTTGAGCAGGGACCGACCGTCCTGGCATTCCACAAGCCTACCACGACATATTCTTAGAATCCGACAATGTTCGAAAAACAAAAACACTGTTCTTAGAACAGAAGCCCGATGTGTTAAAACAAGACAGTCCCAGCCAGAAATGTTCTAAGAACAGTTCGTGGAGACCACAAAAGGTTCTCAGAACATTCTTTGGTAGGCCTGTAGGCACGCCAGGACGCTTCGCCACTGCTTGAGAAGGGGACGGCTTGCTCGGGGTCGGTCAGGCCGACCCCTAAGCGGCACGTGGACAGCGTGCCGCTCCGAAGCGCGGTGGGCCAGAACCGGCGGCGCGACACGCCCGGCCAACGCTCCTGGCTCTGGACCGCGCTCGGCCGACCCGTCCCTGCCTCTGCTGGGCTGCTTCTCCTCCCGCTCCCGCAGGCCCCCCCGAGCGTCGCGAAACAAAAATCACGACGGACCAGGCTTGGGGCATCTCCGGCCTCTTGGGGCCCTCGCCGGGCCCCGGGAGCGTCGACCAAACGGCTTGGGATGAAAAGCCGGTCCCGGGGAATGGGTCGCCTTCTGGGGGTCCGACGTTGTCAACCCTCCTCCTCCTCCTCCTCCTCCTCCTCCTCCTCCTCCTCGTCCAACTCCTCCTCCTCCTCCCCCTCCTCCCCCTCCTCCTCCTCCTCCTCCTCTTCTCCTTCTCTTCTCCTCTTCTCCTCTTCTCCTCTTCTCCTCTTCTACTCTCTCCTCTTCTCCTCTTCTCCTCTCTCCTCTTCTCACCTCTTCTCCTCCTCTTCTCCTCCTCTTCTCCTCCTATTCGTCTTCCTCCTTCTCTCCTCTCTCCCCTCTTTCCTCCTCTTCTCACTCCTCCTCCTCCTCCTCCTCCTCCCCCTCCTCCACTCATCACTGCTGCGATCACTACCATCACACCTGCTGCTGTGACCGCACCCACCACGTCCGCCCCGCGGACGTGTCCTACGATACTGCCAAACGAGGAGCACGCCCGCGCTGAAGTGCTCCGCACATCGCGGCCACGAATCCCCGCCTGCTAGGGCGAGCCAGAGACAGGACGGCGTCGCCGCCATAGACCTCGCCGCAAACCCAGACCTCCTCGGGTCATCAAAATCACGACGAACGGTTGTTGCTAGTTTGTAGCTTCCAGCGGCCCGCACTGGGCCTCGGGACCGTCATAAACAACTCAGGATGCAAAAACTGTCCAGGGAATGGGTCGAGACCTCAGGTGTCGAAATTATCATGAAAGGATTATGACGTCGGGGGTCTGTGACGGTCGCACTTGAATTCATCGTCGCCGCCCCCGCGCCAATCCCTTTTCCGAGCGTGCGGGTAAGATTCATATCCGTACTAGAACCATCGCGCGCGCTTCGCGCGCGCTTAGGGTCTACCTGCCTTGGAGCCCAGCGTACAACGCACATCAGAAACCACGACCAGGGGGTCTCTTGCCTTGGGATCCTCTTGGTGGCCTGTTGAGGCCGTCTTGGGGTCATCTGGAGCTGTCTGGGGCCGTCTGGAGGCCATCTGGGACCGTCTTGGCAGTTTGGAGGCTGTCTCGGAGCCATCTTTGGGCGTCTAGGAACCATCTTGAAGGGTCTTGTGGGCCTATTCGACCGTCTTGGGCCTAACTGGGGCTCCTGCAGAGCCGTTTGTGGACCACTCTGAGGCCTTAGAGATCCCTCGGGAACGAAAAGGCGGGATCTTCCCAAACCTATCGGGTTCCCAAGGTATTTGAAGGATGTTGGCATCCTGGGGGACAATTCGAAGACTCTTGGGAGCGTCTTTAGGGCCGTCTTCGGCCATCTTTGGGACGCACATAAACATACTAGTACTACATGTCCTGCTTGGAGGCGCGCGTCTGACCCCAACACATAGTATACCCATCTTGTAATGTATCGTTTCCCGAGCGGTGTGGCCAGAAAGCGCCCGCCACGCCGCATGTACTGTAAGATGTCTCGGTGCGCGCGTCGCCCCTGGGGGACGACCCACACACATGGTATGAATATGTTGGGGTGACGCCGAATCTTGGCGCCCGCGAGAGCTATCTTGACGCTACCTGGTGCCGTCTTGGGGCGGCCTCGGGAAGCCCCCGAGCGCTCACGGAGACGTCCTGGACGTCCTGGGTTCCTGAGGGACTCCTCTTGGGGCCACCTCGGGCGTTTGGGGGGCCCTCCAGAAGCCTCTGAAGCACATCGGCAAGAAAGGGCGAATGTTTCAACAATGATCCGATATCTTGCGGTTTTCTGCAGATTTTGGCCTCTCGGGCCCCTCGAGGAAGCCTCTAGGGGCCTCCTTTAGGCCTCCTGGAGCCGCTGGGAGGCGTCGTGGAGACGTCTTGGGGGCTCGTGGGCTCGTCTTGGACCAAGTTTAGCCGTCTGGAGGCCCTGACGGGGGGCCGTCTTGGGGCTGGCGTCCTGGGGTCTCTTAGGGGCTATTGGGGGCCCTTTGTGGGCCTCTTGGAGGCCCATTGTTGGCCTCATGGGGTCCTCGGGGACCATCTGGGTTCGGAGGGCTCCAAACGTCAGTTGAAATCCTCCATCTCTTCGTTTGTTTGTTTTGTCTTGCCAATCTCGCCTGCAACCGGGACCACACCGCCTCAAACAATCAAAACATGCGATGCACCGCCACTCACCTATTTGAGCGTCCGTGTCCGAAAGACTGGGCAAGGTGCTGAGCAAATGGGCGCGCGAGAACCAGCATAAATACTGCGAAGGTCCCACCTGTATGCCTGGCATCATGCTTCGGCACGATCAGCCACATGAGGCGGCGTCGCACTTATTGCGGAAACGCCTCTCGGGGAACGCTACCACGTCAAGGAATTCGCGGTGTGAAGGCAGCTGTAGTGTGGCATACGGCGCCAAGAGCCTCCACAGAAGCGAAGGCGAGCCTTCCAAAATTTTGACTTCTGAGCCGGGTGAGGCTGAGGAGGAGGAGGAGGAGGAGGGGGCGGGAAAGGGGCAAGGAACTGGAGCACAAAGGAGACGTAGGAGGAAGCAGGGAGGAGCTGGAGGGGCGGCGAGCGCGCAGCCGCCCTGGCCTTGTGCTGGGCACGAGACCCTCCCGGTGTGGCAGGCCCTCCGGAGGGAGACGAAGCCGACAACACCCTCGAGGGATCGACCCGACTGCGGCCTCGGAAGCCCACCGCCGCACGGCTGGCAGCGTGCTTCGGCACGATCAGCCGCGCGGGGTGACGCCGCGCCCGATCGCGGCGCGGCCTCCCGAGGCCGAGACGAGAGCCGCCGGCGCAGCGAGCTCGGCCGCGCGCGCGAGTGACCCTTGGCCAACGAGAGCACGCCTGGCCCCTGCCCCCCCCCGCGCGCGCTCTCCGCCCCTGCGCCGCCCGGGCGCCGAGGCACGCTCACAGGCGGCGACCGCGGCGGCCCGCCTTCTTGCGGGTGCTGTCGGTGGGGATGGGCGTCACGTCCTCGATACGGCCGATCCGCATGCCCGACCGCGCCAGCGCCCGCAAGGCGGCCTGCGCGCCCGGGCCGGGCGTGCGCGTCTTGGTGCCGCCCGTGGCGCGCAGCTTGACGTGGAGCGCCGTGATGCCCATCTCCTTGCAGCGGGCGGCAACGTCCTGCGCGGCGAGCATGGCGGCGTACGGGGAGGACTCGTCACGGTCCGCCTTCACCTTCATGCCCCCGGTGACGCGGCTGATCGTCTCGCGGCCCGACAGGTCCGTCACGTGGACGAAGGTGTCGTTGAAGGAGGCGTATATGTGCGCAACGGCGAAGACCTGCTCTCCCTCGCGCGCCGTCGGTCCCAGAGTTACCGCCTCGACCGGGGCTGCCTCCTTCTTCGGCGCCATTCGTCCTGCACGCAGACGTTCGGAAAGCTCCTGGTGCCAAGGCAGGGTGTCTTGCCCGATACAGCGCAGATCAGGCCAAAATGGATGGAGCTGCAATGGCTTGAGCCAAAATGGCTACGGAGTTGGAGTTCCCCATCTTGGGTTCCTCGTGGGGCCCTTTGGGAGCCTGTTCGGGCAGTCTTGGGCACCACTTGGGCCGTCGTTGGACCCTCTGGGCCGTCTTGGGGCCCTCTTGTGGGCCTCCTGGACCGTCTTGCGGCGGTCCAGGGGGCCTCTTGGGCATGTTTGCCTCTCGGGACTCTCGAGCGCTATTGTGGCGTCTTCGAAACTTCTGGCGCCCGCCGTCTGAGACCCCTGGAGGCTGTCTTGGGGGTGACACGGGGCCCTCTTGAGCCGCCTTGACGGAGGTCGTAGCCCTGTGGAAGCGGAGGCAAGGCCCCCGAGGAGCTGTCCTGGCCTCTGGCCCCCCATTTGCGGCAATGGTCGTGGCCCCCAAGCCCCCGGGTCTGATCCCCCATCGTATGTATAGTCACTGCGTCTTGGACGTTCTGGGAAGGGGCGCCACGAGGCCGAGGCGCAGTGGATATGGATAGAAATTTGGCATCTAGGTACCAATCTTTCATCCATATCCACAGCACCTAAGGTGTCTGGGGAAAGGGTCCCGAAACTTCAAGACTCAATGGATGTGGATACGAATCTTGCCCGCAGAGGGGGGGGCGGGGAAGCCGGGAACAACTACGCCCGCCTTCCCGCGCTCGCCGCACCAAGAAATACACATCCCTTGTCCCCTCTCCTTCCCAGAAATCTGGCGTTACAGAACAATATTCAACGCCGCGAGCGATCACGCCTGGAGCCGTAGACCCCATCTTTCTGCGGTATTTGTCGAGCCAGGCCGATCTGAGAGGGGGTCACGGGGCCCGAGGCCATGCGACAACGCCGGTTGTGATCAAAATTGCGACGTCTAGATCTTGGCATGAGATAGACGGGGAGCGGACTGGGACCAGGGGCCACAAAGGGAACGAGTCCTGTGGACCCCGGGAGTTGTCCATAGCTGGCTCGTCGTCCCGCATCCAATGCTTGACGGGCCCCGGGGCTTGGGGTGGCCCCGCGAGCCAAACACGGTGAACAACTTCAGAAACACATGACATACCGATAAGACCACCCTACGGGTGATCAGGAGGTTTGGGGGGGGAGGGGGAGGCTGTCGATTTGCGATGGCTCTGGGTTCTTTGGTGGTTTATACAACTTCCCTATTGTTGCGCACATGTACCCATCGATCGATCTATCTATATATCGAAGTATCGGTTCAGGACACCCACATCTCTATATTTATATGCACGTACATACATATATATATATATATACACATATAGATGTATGTATGTGTAAAATATGTATGTATGTTTGTCTGTATGTCTGTCTGTCTGTCTGTCTGCTGTATATACATATATAAATGCTCGCCCCCAAAATAAAACCAGTTGCCTTGTCGTCGATGCTTCCCGCATCTTTATTATTCCGTCTTCCCCCTCATATGGTCCTGTTGGAAAGCATCATAACAAGAGCCATTTGGATAACAACACGAAGGGGGGTAATGAGAGAGAGAGAGGAAATGATTGAATGAAAGAGAGAGAGAGAGAGATAAGACGGAGAAGACGCAGTCGAGGATGAGGAGGAACGTGTATGACCACAAGCGAATGGTATGAGACCGGGGGCAACCGTATATATATAAACAGAAATATACATATATATATACATATAATCTACCAATGCATGAATCTATCGATCGACCAATATATATATATATACATATATCAGAGAGAGGGGGGCGAACGGTCATTCATTGTCCCTGGGTGTTTGGCTGAAGTGAGAACCCGTGGTGAGGATTATGCTTGTTGCGTTGCTGCTGTCGTTGTTGTTGTAGAACTTTCATTTATGAGCAATGATTTGTGTTGATCCCCCTCACCGGTGCATGCTGATCTTTCTCTATCGAAGTGTGCCCCTCGACGCTCGCACCCTGTGTTTTGACAGGGGAAATCTTCCTGCTCAAACTGGGCCCCTGGTCCCCCGGATTGACACAACAACGGCTCCCGCCTGAGACTTCCTCCAAATTTACTCAGGACGCCCGCTCCTAAGATTTCCTCAAAGTTTACTCCGGATCGGTGCTCCCGCCTGTGACCTCCTCGCAATTTAGGCAGGACCCCCGCTCCCATCTGAAACTTCCTTACAAGTTTGCTTCGGAACGGCGCTCCCGCTTGAGACTTCCTCGCGATTGAATCAAGACTCCCTCGCAATTTTATCAAGACCCCCGCTCCCGCCAGAGAACCCTTCACATGTTATTCAGGAGTTGCGTTCCCGCCTGTGACTTCCATGCGATGTATTCAGAAATCGCGCTTTCGACTTTCAGGAAACACGCTGCGCCAGGGACGCCGTTACGATTTGCTTAATAATCGCGCTCTCCCCATACTCAAGCATCCCGCTTGAATGACCCACCCGCCCAGCCCGCCCGTCAGGGGATCGCCCGCCCGTCGTGGGCCCCCGCCCGAGGCTTCCTTCAGGGACGGCGCTTTCGGCTAAGACTTCCTCGAACGTTCACGTTCTTACCTTCCTGCTCCTCCTTCCTCTCCCTCCTCCTTCCTCTCCCCCCTTCTCTCTCCCTCCTCTCTTCCGTCATGCTTATGCCTCTCTGCCATATCCCCTCTCTCTCTCTCTCTCCTCTCCCTCGTCCATTATCCCTCCCTTTTCCTGCCTCCTCCCTCCCTTTTTTTGTTGTTCTCTCTCTCTCTCTATCCCCTCTCTCTCTACCTCTCTGATATGTCTCTCTCTCTCTCTCATTCTCTCTTTCTTTCTTTCTTTCTCTCTCTCTCTCTGCCTCTAATCAACCGCCCCCCTCTTCGCTCCTTCTCTTCTCGCGTTTTCCCTCTTGATCCCCCCC